CCCTGCCTCTGCCTTCTTATAGGTGTGTGTGCCACCACACCCAGCCCAGCTCATCATTTGTCTTTGATAGTTTGTTTTATATCTATGTGTGTGTGAACGTGGGTACAAGCGTGTAAATGCAGGCCATGTGCATGCCACAGCATATGTGTGGTCAAAAGACAACTTTGCCTTCTTTGAGATGGTCTCTCATTTTTTTTCCTCTCTGTATATGCCAGGCTAAGTAGCTATTAAGCTTGTAGAGATTCTCCTATCTCCACCTCCTACCTCCCTGTAGGAACCCTTCATTTACATGTGTGTGCTACTGTATTAAGGTCTATGTGAGCTCTGAAGGTATGAACTCAAATCTTCATATTTGTTTGGAAAATATTTTATTAACTGATCCATCATTGTTCATCATTTCTTGCCCCTATATCTAGCACATCATATAAGTCACTAGTAACTACTATGCAAAGAGTAAGTTGGTAAAGGGATTCAGTGGCAGACTGCATGGTTAGCATATACATTGGGTTCATTCTCAAGCCAAGGAAACAGAAGTTCCTATCTCATCCATCCTTTCCTTCATTCCATCAGAGACTAACATCTTCAACCTTCCTGATAAAGAATAAGTTCTCTGGCTCTTCTCCAGCCCTACCTCTTCAGCCCTCCCGCTTTCCTTTGGTATATAACTGTGTTCAAGTGTCTACCTTCCATAGATGGCATTGCTCTTATTTGCCCATACTATTACTGTTGTGTTGCTTTTCTACTCTTCATTGTGGTAGTGGTGGTTTGATCAAGCTAGGAAACTGTCTACCACTGAGCTGCTTCCCCTAGTCCTCTCTTTCACAATGAAGTTATAAACCTGACATGGCAGCACATGCCTATAATTTAGCCCTTGGGAGGTACAGACAGGAAGATCAGGAATTCAAGGTTATCCTCAACTACTCGGTGATTTCAAGGCTAACCTGGACTACATGAAACACAGTCTCAAAATAAAAGGAAGTTATAAAAAAGAAAAAACATACCATAATTCTCACTTCACTCCCTTTTATCTACCTTTCCTCCTTCTTACTTCTCACATCTAAACTAAAGGTGATGGTAGTAGTAGTAGTAGTAGTGTGTGTGTGTGTGTGTGTGTGTGTGTGTGTGTGTGTGTGTGTACATGGATACATGTGTGCACATGCATGTGGAGGATACAGGTCAACATTGGCTGTGTTTTTTTAATTGCTTCTCCACCTTTGAAAAAAGTTTTGAAGCTGGGCAGTGATGGTGCACATCTTGAATTCCAGCACTTGGAAGGCAGAGGCAGGTGGATCTCTGAGTTGGAGGCCAACCTGGTCTACAGAGTGAATTCCAGGACAGCCAGGACTGTTACAAAGAGAAACCCTGTCTGAAAAAAAATTTAAGATGGTCTCTCACTACACTTGGCATTCACTCATTGGTCTTGACTGTCTGGCCAGTGAACCCCATGGACTCTCCTGTCTCATCTCTCCGGGACTAGAACTACAGGAGTGCACCATTATGAGGGTGCTTTTTATGTGGATTCTAGGGATCTGTCACAGGTCCTTATGCTTCATGGCAAGCACTTTACAACCAAATCATCTTAGTGCCAATTCTTAACCAACCTTGACCAACCCATATACCAGCCATAATGAGACCCTGATAGCTTTACTAATTGTGATGTGCTTGAGCACAATCAGATCATCATTCTGTGACTTCTCTGTGGTTGCATTTGACAAGACTGGGTATACTCTCTCTTTCATGAAATTCTCTCTCACCTGACAGGGTTACACCACCCTCTCCTAACCATTCTATTCTCTTTTCTGGCCACACCTTTGTTCTCTTCCTGGACACCATCTAAAGTACCCAGTCCAGAGTGTGGACTGTGAGAACAAATAACCAAACAGATGAAATCTTTCTATTTCTTCCTCTTTCCATATCATCTCAGACGCAACTGTGAAAGATAAATTACAGTCTCTGTGGTTCCCTCTAACATCCTAGTTACTGCATATCTCCTCCATCTTGAATTTTCAGCCCAAGTTTTTCCAGGCTCTGCTGAGCTCCACCAAAGCCACCTTCTTCTCTCTGCTGGCCCTTGATCTGAGAAGGACCCTGAATCATTGTCTTCTGCTTGTCTTTCAGAATGCACTCACCGTCCATCTTGGATTTCCTCCATTTTCTCATCTTCTGGGAAAATAAAATAACATACTGTGAGGTGGGGAGAGACAAAAAAGGATCTTTGTAGGCAATAAAAAAACAGTGACATAACCACCAGAAAGTTTCAAGCCTGGGGCAGAAAGTCTTAGCATACCCATTATTTCTTGAATAAGTACTTGAACCAGGATCCAAAGACAACTGGCTTGGGCTGACAAGACGGTCTTCCCCAGAAGCCATAGTGGAAGGAGAGAACTGACTTCCAAAAACTGTCCCCTGACCTCCACCCATACACCACATCATGTGCATGCCCTCTACTAATAATAAATAACATTTTTAAAATGCAAAGGGTATCTGGGAGCTGAGAGAGAAGACCCTAGTTTGGCTCCCAGGGCCCACTTTGGACAACCCACAACCACCTATAACTCCAGCTGCAGGGGACCCAACATCCTCTTCCGGGTTCTGTAGGCACCCACATATACACAGTACACAGACACATAAACACACTTACATACACGTAAATAGAAGATCTTTTAAAGGCCATATAATGACACTTATTAGCTTTCTTTTTCTTTTGCTTAAAGAAAGTCTATTAAATTTCTTCTTAGAAGCCAGCTGGTCTGGCTTAGATGTCCCTAATCTCAGAGTTCACTTCCTTTTCTAGAGAAGATGCAATCTCTGGAGTATCAGGTATTATCACCTTCTCCCTGAAAATGATATTGTTTAAATAAAAAGTTTTCAGAGAGACACCTGCCATTCCAATCCTTTGAAAGAGACTCCAGGGTTAAAAGTAAAACAGGAATTCTAGACTGGACTGGGAAATGTAGCTCAGTGGTACAGCACATACTTAGCATGCACTAGGAACTGGGTTTAATTCCCAAAAGACACATTCAAGTCCCAAGTCTCCTAAGGTCTCCTGAGGTCATATTATCCAACTTGTGGCACATTTCCTTCCCTAACTCTAACAGGCATCTGTCCTGAGCTAAGAGAAATCAGTATAAGTACAATAGATGACTAAATAAACAGGAAAACTGGGCACCAGTTTATATCCACCCGGTGTTCAATTTGTCCCTCTGGGATAAACTTACCCATCAGCATTTTCATTATCAGTGGCAGAAGAAGCAATTCCTGGCTCTTTGTCTGATTTGGTAGGTATTATGGGTTGGACACAGGAAGTCTCTGCAAAATTAAGGCCAGACCCCAGCCCTTCCAAAACAAAGTATTACAAGCAAGGAAGAAACAAAACAAAACAAATGCTCTAGTATTTCTAAACCACAGCATTCCATTCAAATATCATACCCTTGTGCTTCAAAGAGTCTACCTTTGGTATTTTGTCATATGGTAGAACTTGAAATCATTACAATTCAAGAAAAACTAAAATCCATATTTTTCTGCAAGCTTTCCATATTGATCAGCCTCATTCCAGGGCAGCTAAGTAATAATGTAATTGTGTATAATATGTACTATATTTTATCTTATTTTTCCTCAAACTTCTTTTAAGAAAAGTACACCCACAAATATCTTATATGAGACCATTCTCCTTAATCACGTGACCTTATAGAAAAGGCCCCTAAGACTATGTAACAGTCCTTTTTTCTAAAAATCAAACCAAGGGCTGGGGAAATAACTCAGTCAATAAGTGCTGCTTTACAAGTATGAGGACCTGAGTTCAAGTCTCCTAACCCACATAAAATCAAAATAAAACAAATCAAATGTGGTGACATACACTTGTAATCCCAGCACTGAGGAGACTGGAAAAGGCAGATCCCTGAGACTTCCAGCTGCCTAGACTAGCGGAACTGACTAGGCCCCAGGCTAGTGGGGGACACTGTCTCAAAAAACAAGGTAGAGCCTTATGAATGACAACTAGGTTGACTTCCAGCCTCAATCCACAGGAGCAGACACATGCATCCATACCTGTACTTATGTCCACCTACATACATTAGCACAGCACACATGAACCTGTGAATACACTTAAACATAAAGACATTACAAAAATGGTAATAAAAACCAAATCCCTAAAAAAGGAACCAAACCAATATTAAAAATATGCAAAACTTGTGCCAGTAAGATGGCTCAGCAGGTGGGGTGCTTACCGCCAAGCCCAGGACCCACATAGTAGAAAGAGAACAAGTAGAAGAGGATGCTTACAAACTGTCCTCTCACCTGTACACACAAACCATGGCATGCATGCTCACACACACACACACACACACACACACACACACACACACACACACACTAAAAAAAATAATAAAATGTAATTTAAATATACATACTATACACACATAAAATACATTCTCCAAATCTGGACAAACTATCTTTTCTAAGTAGACTGCAAACATATATGAGTAAATCAAAATTGCATTTGGAAAACTCAGGTGAGGCTACATTGATTCTGAAGTCAGTATCACCTACTTTCCCAAAGACATTTCTTTCCCTTTTCTTTCACATGACTTAGCGCAGGCCTATTGATAGGAGATTAAATATCTCAAGTATCATTTGAGACTTTCTCAGGAAGATGGGAGAAAAAGAAGCTGTCAGACTTATACTACCCCTCAAATGACAGTCACTCTGCTTTTCTCTTCACACCAGGCCATACCCAAGTACTCCTGCAGAGACTTCCGTAGTACAGTCTGGAAAATCTCTTCAAATTCTTCGTTGGTAAGGGCTTGTTTTCCTGCAGAGATGGAAGGAAGGAAAACAGCTTGCCTAGCATGCATCAGGTCTTGGAGTCATTCCTCAGTAACACCCCCAAAACACACACACACACACACACACACATTCCCCCCAACACAAAAAGATTCTGTTTATCTGGCTTATCCAGGAAACAGAGCAGGAGGGACTGTACTACTAGAGTGTGATGTACACCTTTCCTTTCTTCTCAGCTAGCTTGTCTTGAGCCTTTCGCTTTTTCTCCTGGACTCCGCTTGGACCATGTTCTGTGGTTGTCTTCTGCTCCTTCTTCTTTGAGCTGGCTTTGGGCTGGCTTGGCTTGGCCTCTGCCTCTGGAGAACTGGTCCCCTGGGTGTCCTCCTTCCATGAGTCAGCCTGAGGGCTCACACTATGTGATTTTTGTATAGGTGGGGCAAAGGTTTTCTTTGTCCCCTTTTCATATTCTGAAGAAATATGATCAAATGGGAAATTAGGAAATCGGTGTTTAACAGAGATTGCCAAACACTGCCTGTGGAGTAGTCAAATCGGAATTAGCTTTTAACAAATCCAGATTTCTCCCCTTAATATTCCATTCCCCAGCCCAGGAATTTGTAATCTGACAAGATTAGCTGGTTCTAACATACTCCAAGTTTTCTACCATTAATTCAAAATGATTAAAACAAACATGTAGGAAGGTGAATTATTCAAGTATGAATTGTTTTTTTCTTAAATAGGTTCATTTTAATTTCATGAAAATAAACTTTAAAAAAAAACTACTGAGCACTTAGAAACGACTCAAGGCTTAATCTTTTTTTTCTAAAAAAAAAATCTATTTTTAATTTTAACTGATCAAAATGCATACAAGAATGTCCCTGAACTAAACAAAACACAATAAAATGCCCAAGGCCTAGTCTGATGCTATCTCCTCTGTGAAAAGGATACTGATCCCACCAGGTATAAGTGATAATCTATTTATTCTGAGCATTTTTAACACTGTACTTCTCTAGTGGCATTCAGCATATTTAACTTCATATTATCGATACTTAAACACATTTTTCTCCATGTGAATCCATATATTCTTTGGGCATGGCTGCTTTTTAAAGATTTATGTATTCAATTTTTTTACCTAAGTGAATGTGTGTGCAGGTGCATGCAGGTGTTCATGGAGGCCAAAGGGCATGCAATCCCCTGCATATGGAGCTACTGGCAGCTGTAATTGCCTGATGAGTATTCTGGGAACCACTGCCTGATGAAGATTTTGGGAACCACCCCTGAGTCCTCTGGATGGGCAGCGAGTGCTCTTAACCACTAAGCTGTATCTCCAGTCCCGAGCAGCAGGGCTGTTTCTAAGTCATATTTATTTTGCTCAGTGCAACTGGCAAAATAGTAGTTTGAACAAAGTGAACAGAATTCATGGGACTATAATCCCCCTTTGAAGGAAAGGATGGATAAAGGGGGAAAGGGAGAGAAATGTATTAAGTGAATGTCTCTAATCCTTGGCTCACCTTTGTTATTCTGTGATGCTGCCATCATTCAGCAGAAACTACACTTCCCCTTGCCTCTGTTAGAAGGAAAGAAATTGTTATTACTTTGGTTAAACATAATTTAAACTTTATTTTCTCCATGTCTTCTTAGATTTAAATTTCTCTGGATCCAGGACAACACTTCTGCCTTGTTCACTCCATTCCTACCCTGCATCAGTACTGACTATTTCCCTGGGCATGCATAAGTTGCTGTTTTGAAGATTAGCAGCAATGCTTGGTTTTATGGTTTTTCAGTACTGGATATTAAATCTATGCCTTTGTACATACTAGCCAAACAAATGCTTTACCTGAACCCTATCATACACAGAAAGAAGGAGAGAGAGAGATAGAGAGGAGGGAAAGAAAGAAAGAAAGGAAGGAAGGAAGGAAGGAAGGAAAAGATAGCTTGGCAATTAAGCGCATTTGTTATTCTTGTTGACTGGGTTTCAATTCCCAGCACCCATAGAGTATTTGACAACCATCTGTAACTCCAATTCAGGGGATCAGATGCCCTTTTGCTAACCTTGGCAGGCACCAAGCACACAAATGATGTACATACATAACATTCAGGTAAAACGCTCACAAATAAAAAAAATGAATAAATCTAATTAATATTTTCATAAAAAGGAAAAAAATGATGGAGCATTATTGCACTATTACATAAATAAGATGTAGCAATTCCATAAGCAGTGATGTATATGTAGTAAATAGCTTCCCTTAATATAAAGTTGCTCACAAATAAAACGAATAAATCTAATTAATATTTTCATAAAAAAGGAAAAAACGGGGCATTATTGCACTATTACATAAATAAGATGTAGCAATTCCATGAGCAGTGATGTATATATAGTAAATAGCTCCCCTTAATATAAAGTTGGAATGTAATGAACATTACTTTCAAAAAATTTTTTTTTTTGAAGACAGGGTTTCTCTGTGGTTTTGGAGGTTGTCCTGGAACTAGCTCTTGCAGACCAGGTTGGTCTGGAACTCACTGAGATCCACTGGCCTCTGCCTCCCTGAGTGCTGGGACTAAAGGCGTGCACCACCACCACCTGGCTACTTTTAAAAATTCTAACCCAATCAGTAAATAAGAGAAAGTCAGGAAGTTACTTTTTGATAAGTCAAGCTGCTGCTTCCTGTTTGAGATGAATTTGCTTCTTCTACAACAGCAAATATTAAAAAGCTGACTCACAGAGAAAAAAAAAAAAAACAGTTAATAAAAATGCAAAATACCACCTTGCACTTGTTAGAGTGTGAAAGTAGAAACTGACAATGTCTCATATCATTTCCACTTTATATTTTTGAGGCAGGTCTGTCAGTGAAACAGAGCTTGCCATTTCAGATAGTCTGGCTGGTCAACAAGCCCCCCAGGACCCAACTGTCTCCACCTCCCACAGACTACACCACTACGTCCAGCTTTTTGTGTGGATGCTGGGGATCCTCTACTTATGCAGTAGGTATTTACTTGCTGAGTTATCCTCCCAAGTCTCCATAGGTTTTAATTTCCTCTTTTCTCTCAAGAGAAATGAAAAGAAGACAGGAAGGGAAATAGAAAAAACAACAACAAGGGAGACAATCCTAGCTGCAACAATGGAACAACAGCTCTACCATCCAGGGCAAGTGCTTGCTGCTCTTCCGAGAACCCAAGTTCAGTTCTCAGCATCTGTAATGGGTGGTTCACAACTGCCTATAACCCCAGCTGTCCAGGATCTGTCCCTCTTCCAGCCTCTGCAAGCATTCACACACATATGTGGTTTGCACACATACTTTAAAAATAATAATAATAAAACTTCTTGGATTCCTCTGCAGATTTTTAAGAGTATAAGAGACCAAATCTGGTATGCTGGGTATGATGGCATATATTTCTAATCAGAATGAGAAATTCAAGGCCAGCATGGGCTACATGAGACCATACCTCAGTGAACAAAAACAGCAGGGAGGGGGACTCATAAGACCCCCCTCTCCTTGAAGATCTGAAAGCAACACTAGTTGCTAAGGAGAGAAACATTTTCAATGATGAAGCCACCGGTAAGATGGAAATAAGAGAAGATAGTTAGGTTGACTATAGTTGAAATATATTATATACACGTGCAAATTTAGCACAATGAAACCATTATTATAGATAATATTTTTTAAATGTTTACAAATAAAAGTTTTAAATATACCTGATGTAGTGAAATTACTTAAGTGCTGCCATTATTTGTCAAAAAAAATCAATTAGGAGCTGGCTCAGTCGTTAAGAGCACTGGTTGCTCTTTCAGAGGACCTAAATTCAACTCCCAGAAACTACATTAATAGCTCACAACTATCTGTAATGAGATCTGGTGCCCTCTTCTGGCAGACATGCAGGCAGAACACTATACATAATAAATCTTATTTAAAAAAAAAAAAAAAAAAAAAAAAAGCATTATCCACCTTACCATGTCCTCCTCCTGAATATGCAATTATTCCCTCTTTATATTGTTTCTCCATTCTTTAAAGAAAAGCCAGCCCTTTGCTATTGTCTATTATCATAGATCCCAAGAGTTTCTACAAATTGCAAAGACTAGTTAATACTAGCATTCATGAGGTTGAGGCAGTATTTAGAGTTCAAACTGGAGGGCTTCATAGCAAGACACAGCCATTAAAAAGGACTATTTAGCTGGGTGTTATTGGCACGCCTTTAGTCCCAGCACTCAAGAGGCTGAGGCAAGTGGATCTCTGTGAGTTCTAGACCAGCCAGATCTACAAGAGATACAAGCCACATAGAAACTCTGTCTTGAAAAACAAAAATAAGAAGAAAAGGACTATCTTACCCTCCTGTAAGCTAGGATAGGGATTCATGTCTGAATTCCAGCTATAGGGATATTGAGGCAGGAGGGTGAGTTCTAGTTTGAGACCAACAGACAACCCTGTCAAAACAAAAAAGAAAAAAGAAAGACCTCCTATATTTAAAATGGTCAGTGGCTGTAATCCCAGAACTTGAGAGACTGATGGAAGTCCACCGCTACAACTTCAAGTCCAGTCTGAGCTACAAGTGATTACTTCAAGAACAGCCAGGGACACAAACAAGACCCTGTCTCTGCAAATAAAAATAGAGACAGAGACAGACAGACAGAGAGAGAGAGAGAGAGAGAGAGAGAGAGAGAGAGAGAGAGAGGGAGGGAGGGATGCTGGGGAGACGGATTAGTGGGCAGGGGTGCTTGTGTCAAGCCTAATGACCTGAGATTGATTCCAGAGCCCACGTGTTGATGATGGTGGGGGAACAGGTTATCCTCTGGCCTCTACATGCTCTATGACATGTGCACACACGAACACACAAACACACCCCACACAACAAATAAATAGATAAGGGTAATAAAACTTTTAAAGATAAAACTCATTTAAAATTTTCATTTCCTTTAAGATGGAGTTAATGGCCTTTTGACATTAATGTCTAACAGCCTATAAACTCCTGCCTATTCTCATGACTCGATTAACTTTTTAAGTTCCCTTTTGAGTGTATATGTATGCTCTAGAAACCTTTTAAACATTTAGCAAGAAAAGAAAGACTAGTAGTCCATCCACCCTGACCAAATTTACTTTCAGCAGAAATTATCCAAGCTAAACTTCCCACGGGTAGTGTATTGGGGCGGGAGGCTTGGGGACGGGGAGAGGGGATGGGAGGGAGGTGGTGGCGCACGCCTTTAATTCCTGCACTCGGGAGGCAGAGACAGGTGGATCTCTGAGACCAGCCAGAGCTACATACAGAGAAACCCTGTCTCTGGGAGACAAAAGGAAAGAAAAAGAAAAAGAAAGAAAACGGAGGGAGGGGAGAGACAGGGGAAAGACCAAAGATACGGTCACTTGTGAGCTAAACAGTTTCTTTCTGGGGTGGAAGGGTTTGGAGACAAGGTTTCTCTATACAGCAGCCCTGGCTGTTTTTTGTGACCAGGCTGGCCTGGAACTCACAGAGAATCCCTCCTGTCTTGCGAGTGGGATTAAAGTGGTGTGTCCACGACCACTCGGCACAAAAAACAGATTCTTTCGACAGAGCTGATGTCCTTTCTAGTCTTGGCATGGCTCTCTAGGTGGCTTCCACTCGTGCCCCTCCCCCCACCTTGTCCCAGACCTCAGGCTGCGCCCTCAGGGATGTCCTCGCTTCAGGGACTGTGTCCGATGCCTCGCAGCGCGCCCCCCTTTTCGGCTTCCAAGCTATTGAGATGCGGTGCCATAAATACACAGCCCCACGGAGAAACCCCAAAGTAGAAATTTTATGTGTTCCTCTACTTGTCCTCCTTCTTCCCCAGTCTCTCTGGGACAGCCATTAGAAATCGGAGTTGTCTCCCAGTCAAACAAGCCTCGCCTCTCCTCATCCTGACCAGGCATCCCACCATGAGAGCCTCTTCCCCTCAGCTCCCGCTCAGCCTCACTGTCCCTCAAGTCCTCATTTCCCGCCACGACTCCGGCTTGTGTGTGCTGTGAGTGGTTTGGAAAGTGGGGATTCTGAGGAGAAAGGTCAGCTGAAGGTCTGAAAAAATTTCTCCTCAGCCAACAGGTACCAGGATTCACCGCACCTAACACGTCCCTCGATGGCTGGATAAAAGCCAACTACCTTCTGGGCCGACGAGGATGTAAAGATGAGGCGCAGCCTACGCTGTCGCAGCCATTCCGCACATCCCTTTCCACCTCGACCTATTTTTCCCGCCACCAAGACAAGGCACGAGGATCACTGGACAAATTCCGCCCCCAAGTGGCGAGCGCTCAGAGATGACGCGCATGCGCAGCTGGAAGCCGCTTTGCGTATGCGCAGTTGAAGTATACCGCCATCTTCCAAACTAAAGCCTACTGAAACTACAAGTCCCATAATCCTCGCGGGCGCCGGGCTTTCCCCCCCCCCCCGCTCAGGGCACTTCGTTCTGGTGTCTGCTTCAAATCGCCTGATTTCATGTTATAACCCGTATCTTTTCGTTTCCCTCACGCTTTTATATTTTGTCTGAGACCATCTCGCCTCTACAGTGCTCTTATTTGACAATCTGTTGGCAGGGAACCTCCCTCCACCTGCCATCACTC